AGTGCCAGAAATAAATAAACAAATAAATACATAAATAAATAAGGCTTTGAGACCGTTTTTTGTCTTCCTCCAGCGCCCAATGCAAAGCCACTAGAGTCCATAAAAATGCTTCTCAATGCCTTTCACCAACGTGGCCTTAGATGTCTCTTTCTGCAGATAACACCCACTCTTCCTATCAATAAGACAAATGGGTAGACACGATGTATTAGTACCCACTAAATTACAGAGATACTTCTGGAGAAGAGGTCTGGCAGAGAACAGAGAGTCATTATCTCAGCAAAGGGAAGCAGCAACCAGTTTACAAAAATGTGAAACAAAGTTAACTTGCCATCAAATTCAACAGGAAGAAAGTATTTGCTCAGAAACTTGTCATAGACCTCCTGAATTTTATATGAACTGCTTTGGGAGGGGCACCCCAAAGCCTTGTATTTGTCTTCCTGTTTGCAAAATGTGGATAAATACTCTTACCACTTACCTATATTTCAGAAAACTAGTAAAAACAGTGATGTAAACCACAGATGCTTTTCTTAAATTCTAGATGTTTGGACAGTCAATGCTCTCCTTTATTGAACAGATACAGTACAAAATACAGTACAAAATGAAATACTTAATATACAGGCTCTATGTTCTGCTCCTAATAAAAACAGAGGTACTAAAAATTTAGGGTGTAAATCTGCTTTGGGTCCAAACTATTATTAATTCAAAGAAATAATACAAAGCAAGGAAAAAGGTCCCTCAACTTTTTGGCTATTAAACGCCTTTGTCTTCCATTGAATATCTTTTCAGAAATCAGCACCACGATCTGAATCCACCTGAAAATACAACAACTGCTCACAATCAATGCAGACTGAGTCTCAAAAGTCTATGTCAACCAAAACTGGTCTTCATAGTACACAAACAACCTCTTTCTATTCTTTGTAATCGTTTAGAATGTCAGATTCTTTACTTCCTAAAAATATAATGGCAATCATTTTTTTCCTACTGATCAACTGAAGAAAGAGTAGATGTAAACACTCAAGTTCTAAATGGAAAGGCTGCTGGGGTGTTTCGGCCCAGCAGTCTCTCCCAGCAAGTTTGTGTGTGCAGACTGAAAGTTTTTGTATGGTGGGGGAGGGGAAGTTTACCCTGCACACTCGCAGGAAGGCTCACAGAAACAAGTCAGGACCGTGAACACCTTCTCTCTGCTGTTCAGAGCCCAATGTACTTGAAAGACACAGGGGTTGTCTCAGCTGTCAAGTTTATAAGGGCATCCAAAAATTCGAGTTCCAGTTGAGTCAGAGAAGGAAAACCAACAGCAACCCCAACCCAGTAGATCCCAAGTTAATTCTCTCCAGTTTCTCCCGTCATAATATTAATTGCTTTCTTAATAAAATGCTGCAGTAAAATCTGTGAAATCAGATTCTGGCAGAAAATCAAACCAAAGGATAACTCTTTCTGGTAGGTACTTTCACATACTCAGCCTCCTGCCTACCTTATTATGCTTTTGCTGGTGTCTTGCCTTTGTGTCAAGAACATGATAAGGGCTTTCAGAGTCTTGGTTGATGTAATATATGAGTCTTGAAGGCGTTGTGATTTCTTTCTGCATTGCACTGCTGTAACTGGTATTCCTGCTGCTATTCTGTTGCAATGTACTGTTTTCATCTGCCAGGACTCCCAATTTTTTTTCTGCAGTTTCATTCCAATGCGGAGCTGGGAGGGGGGGGCAGGAAGCATAAACAAACACACACATATACACCCCATAAATACATAAGTACTACAGTGCATTTTTCCATTAATCGCACAAATAAAGTTTTCCATTTATAAGCAGGTTTAAAGTGCAGACGCAGAAAAGCAAGTTTTGGCAACATGAAATGGCCTGGGATGGGGTAATAGGCAATAAAGGCTTATACAACCACAAATCGCAATCATGTATACATTTTCCCAAGTCTAAATATTAGGGGGAGAGGGCTAAATGGACTTAGGGAAGAGTCGTTAAATGAGCATGCTCGGGGTCCTGACCCTCAATTCTAGCCCTTTTGTGTCAACAAAGCTCAACTGTCCTCTGCTTAGTCGTATCCCATCTGAGAGCTGAGAACACTCCTAAGATAACTAACTGCTGAATGCCTGCACACAGAAGGTTAACTGATGCATTTCACAAAATGGACAATTCTCTTTTCTTTTAACTTTGAAATGAGCAAAAATTCCTTTGCCAAAGAGGGATACGGAGGCTGGCAGCTTTCCAATTTCTTTTTGGAAATTTCTTTCCAAATTTCCAGTTTATTTCCCACCAAGGTCAGCTTTCTGCTCTCACTGGTTTCCAATCATCAATGTATTGACCATCATATTGTTTTAATTGTTCATTATAATGACAAGCATTTTGAAAAATCACAACCAAAGGTCGTGCACTTTCAGTCTTTGGTCCCTGGAGTATGCCTCGCTCGCCTTAATCCCAACCGCAGTGAATAAACTGGGTAGGAAAGCTGAGGAAACCACCCATAACCATCATTAGCATCCCATCCTCCCCGCATTCCTGTTAGGGCTCTGCCACGCCAGGAGCAACTTGGTCCTTCTCTGCGTTTCCCAGGCACTGGCTCCCCCTCAAGTTGCCCGAAAACCGCTGAAGAAACCGCTCAATCCCTCCCAGGGGGACCGACAGTCGTTGGGATGGGTTTTTAGTGAATGCCACAGAAATAGACTTCCAGAAGTGAACTAGAATGGACGGGGGCTTTTGGAGATAGGAAGGGTGGAGAGGCGGGCAGGAAGGCACCGAAGGCCAAGCCGGGAAGCGTCCGGGGCGCACGCACCCTGTGCCCTTCGCTCGCCACCACAGGGCCCGCGGGGAAGGCGACGCAAAGGACACGGGCCATACCCACCGCTGGGCGCAGCAGCCCCCCAGGCGCGCGGCCCGGGCGAGGCGGCGAGCGGAGGCAGCAGCAGCAGGACGAG